TTCGATTTAAGTTAACTGAGATAATTTTGAATTATGTCAGTTAGTTAGTAAATAAGTTTTTAAATGTTGGTTAATTTTAAGGAATAAAGTTGTGTGTTTTTCAGAATATAAATAACGGTTATAATTAATACAAGTTTAACATTATTCACTTATCAGGATCCAGTGTTATCGAACGAAGCGTTAGAATAAACGTAACATTGGTGTCAGAAGTGGGATCCTGATAAATAAAATGGTTAAGCTTGGACAGTTAACCGTAGTGCAATTAAAGCGGCAACTGGAGAAGCTGGGGCTTAGCACAGGTGGTGTTAAGACGGAGTTGCAAGTAAGGCTGCGTGAGGCTTTAGAGGCGAGCGGTATAAATGCGGAAGTGGAAGAATTCCCTGAAGAGATAATTGTAGCGGGAGAAGTTAAACAGGTGGGTAATAATGAAATGATGGAGCCTATGATGAAGATGATGCAGCAGATGAAGGAACATGCAGAGCAGACTTCCACTGAGCTTAAGAAAAATGCAGAGCAGACTTCATGTGAACTCAAAGATTTAAAAAAAGGGTTGAGCCAACTTGCCGAGATAACAGCAGAGGCGCAAGAAAAGTTGTCGAAAAGGGTTGATGAAACGAACCAGAATTTCCAAGAGTTAAATAAGAAGGTGTATCAGTTAGAAAATCGATTAGATGATTTGTCGTCGAATCGTCATTCGTTAGCGAGTATTCGCCAGACTGGGGAAGTAAAATTAAAACCACCGGTGTTTGATGGAACCGCAACGTTTGAAGTCTTCCAGTTGCAGTTCGAGACAACTGCTGTTGCAAATCGGTGGGGTGAAGATGAGAAGACGGCAGCGCTGATTGTGGCATTAAAGGGCAGTGCGGCAGAGGTGCTACAACAGATTCCTGATGAGGCACGTAAGAATTACCACGAGTTAATTGGTTTATTAAAGCGTAGGTATGGCAGCGATTTTATGTCACCGCTACGCAGAGTAGAACTGAAGGCAAGAGTACAACGGGTTGGCGAGAGTCTTCAGGAATATTCCGCGGATATCGAACGTTTATGCAATTTAGCGTATATTGGCAGTTCTAGTGACTTCGTTGAAAAAAATAAAATTGATGTTTTTATTGATGGCATACGTGATCCAGAAACCAGGCGGCAGGTGGTAATGTTTCCAAAGCTAACTTACGCTGAAACAGTTGGCAGTGCGTTAACGTACGAGGCCGCCGGTTTGATGTGTCGACCCATAGCAAAGGTGCGGAAAGCAGAAACTGAAGCGGAGGATTTGGTTGAGGTAATGCGTCAGTTAAAAGTTGCTTTGACGAAAAATGATAATAAGTTCAGCGGCAAATGTTTTGCTTGTGGCAAAACTGGACATATGGCACGTGAATGCCGTTTACGTCGTAAGCGCAGTCGATCGAGTTCCCCGACTGAAAAGGCACATCAAGGCCAAGGAATCGGGGTGGACGAAGTGATGGATAGGTCTTCGTTAAACCGAAACGAGCCAGTTCGAAGGGGCGTGGACTGGTTCTCACAGCGGAGCGCCCCCCCATCCTCATCTCACAAATGAAACGAGTGTTCAACAGTTTAACTATCCAAGGCAAAATCAACGATGAGATGTACATTTTGACTTTAGACACAGGTGCATCTCATTCAATAATAAAGAGCAGAGTGGCAGGGAAATATGAGTCATTACCTGGCGCTAAACTCCGGACTGCGACGGGTGAGGTTGCACCGATACTTGGAAGGGTCACTAAACTTATTACCATAGGTGACTGTGAGCTGCAACATGAATTCATTGTTGCTGATATTATTGATGATGTCATAATTGGCGTAGATTTTATGATTGCTCATGGAATTACGTTGGACTTAGGACAACGTATCCTACGGAGCGCTGTAATGGAATGTCCATTAAATACTGACAGTGAGCATTGCGATAGGGTGAGACAGGTTCGATTGAATCGGCGACAGAGAATACCGGCAAATTCAGAAGCGATTGTATGGGGAACACTAGACGCGAATAATAGGACGAACAGATGCTGGATTGTAGAAGCCATGGAAAATGTCGGAGTCGATAATATCGTACTTGCACGAACTTTGGTGCATCCGAATGACGATGGCAGTATACCAATACAGATTATGAATCTATCTGGGGTACCAAAATCTATAAAGAAAGGTGCGGTAATTTGTCAGTGTGAGGAAGTTGCAGTGGTTACTGATTGCGGTGGAAGGTCGGAAGTTACGGAAACAAAAGCACCTGTGGAGGAAGAAGAAGTAGTATCACAGATACAAAATTGGACTAAAGAACTCACCTTATGCCAGAAAGGCAAGGCGTTGCAGATGATACGCAACCATTGGTCCATTTTCGCAGCTAAAGGGAGAACTGCTATTATAAAACATGGAATTGATACCGAAAATTCCAAACCTATACGACAGCCACCACGAAGGGTTCCTTTTGCAAAGAGAGATGAAGTGGCCGATTTAGTGATTGGAATGCAGAAGGAGGGTGTTATTGAAGCGTCAGCGAGTCCATGGAGTTCGCCAGTGGTGTTAGTGAAGAAGAAAGATGGAAGCACCAGATTTTGCGTAGATTATCGCAAGTTGAATGATGTGACCAAGAAGGACAGCTATCCATTGCCCAGGATTGATGATACCATCGATACGTTAACTGGTGCGCAATGGTTTTCAACACTTGATTTACGAAGCGGTTATTGGCAAGTGGAACTTGAGGAGGAACATAAGGAAAAGACTGCATTTAGCATTGGTGATGGGCTTTGGCAATTTACTGTTATGCCGTTTGGTCTCTGCAATGCACCTGCCACTTTTGAGCGTCTCATGGAGCGAGTTTTAAAAGGTCTGCACTGGAAGACATGTTTAGTTTACCTTGATGACATAATTGTTATGGGAAATGATTTTGATGATCACTTGAGGAAGTTGAAGGAAGTATTTGAGCGACTGGACGCTGCAGGTTTGAAGTTAAATTCGAAGAAGTGCTCACTTTTTCAACGTGAAGTGAAATATCTTGGACACAGGGTAACCGCAGAAGGCGTGCATACAGATATCGAAAAGATTGTGGTGGTGAAGGAGTGGCCGCGGCCAAGAAACCTACATGAATTGAGGAGTTTTTTAGGGTTTTGTACTTATTACCGACGTTTCGTGCCTGGTTTCGCCAATGTGGCTAGCAGTTTACATTTGTTAACTAGAGGGAAGCAACCTTTCGTATGGGGTAAGGTAGAAGATGAGGCTTTCAGACAGCTCAAGGAGAGGCTTTGTTCGGCACCGGTTCTTGCTTATCTAATACCTGGAAAAACGTTTGTGTTGGATACGGATGCGAGTGGCTGTGGAATTGGTGGGGTTCTGTCGCAGTTAGTTGATGGCGAGGAAAAGGTTATAGCATTTCACAGCAGGATCTTATCAAGACAGGAGCCGAATTATTGTGTCACGAGGAGGGAGCTACTTGCAATAGTGGAATGCGTGAAGCATTTCCATAAATATTTGTACGGTCAGACATTTCTTCTCCGAACTGATCATGCGGCACTTAGATGGTTGTTACGATTTAAGGATCCGGAAGGCCAGCTAGCACGATGGATTGAACGCCTCCAGAGCTATGATTTTACTATTGAACATCGTAAGGGAAGCTATCATGGGAATGCTGATGCGTTGTCACGTCGTCCTTGTGATACGGAGTGTAAACAGTGCTCACGGGCTGAAAGCAAGGAACACATGGTAGATGTTTGTCTTGTGAATGTTCTTCCAGAAGAGTCCTGGTCCAGTGAACAAGTACGGAAGGCGCAACTGGAAGATACAGACCTTGTAAAGGTAATTCAGGGGAAAGAACAGGGCATCCGACCGGAATGGCAGCAAATGGCGAGTGAGGGTCCTATATGCAAGGCGTACTGGGCGCAATGGCATAGTTTACACCTTAGGGAAGGTTGTTTATATCGATCTTGGGAGAGTGAGGATGGTAAATCGACTAATAGTCTACTAGTAGTGCCCAAGTCCCGTATCAATGAAATAATCTCTGAGTATCACAGTACATTTAGTGGAGGTCATTTGGGTGTAACAAAAACTGTGGAAAAGATTAAAAAACGTTTTTACTGGGTCGGTTGTTGGGACTCTGTTGCGGACTTTATAAGGAAATGTGTTCCATGTGTATCTTCGAAAGGACCAGGTAGGAGGAGTCACGGTGAAATGCAACAGTACAATGTAGGGGCTCCGTTTGAACGAGTTGCGATGGATATCGCTGGGCCTTTTCCCTCGAGCAGTGGAGGAAATAGGTATGTGTTGGTTGTGATGGATTATTTTAGTAAATGGCCAGAGGTGTATCCTGTTCCTAATCAAGAAGCTAGCGTGATCGCCAATGTTTTCTTGGATAATTGGGTTGCGCGGTATGGCGTGCCTTTGGAGCTTCATTCGGATCAGGGACGGAACTTTGAATCGACCATTTTTAGGGAAGTTTGCAGAGTGCTGGGTATACATAAAACTCGTACTACTCCTTT